TACTGTGATTTTTTTCCCTAGCTGACCCAAAATTAACTGTCACAGTACTCATCAACTGGTATTTAGTTTTTGTCTTTTATTTTCCTGTGGGATGATGTAGGCATTTGAAATGTGTATAGAGTTATAGCTACTCTTCAAAGATGGCCCCCCAATATCCTTCAATAGTTATATCTTTGTGGATCCTCCATGCACAAATCTATTAGACACTATAACCTGCTTCAACCAATTTTGGGAGCCCATTCCCTGTGGTGGGATAGTCTCTCAGCCTAGCTACATGGGGGAGGCCTAGGTCCTGCCCCAAATGATGTGACAGACATTGATTATCCCCCATGGGAGGCCTACCCTCCCTGAAAAGTGGATGTGGGGGCTGGTGGGGGAAATGGGAGGACAAAGGGAGGGAGAGGGAACTGGGATTGGTATGTAAATAAGATTGTTTTTAATTTAAATAAAAATTAATATTTAAAAAAGAGAACAATGATCTGTATTTTGAAAGTTTTGTTAAGAAGTCCTCAACTTCATTCTGACAGTTGGAGATGACACATAGTATCTAGTATCTAAGGACTCTCACTATCCTTAGGCCATCATCTTGTAAGGAAGTCCAATCCAATTAAGACAGGAAAGGGAGAGATGGTGGGGGAGATGCAACTAGTAACCAACTCCTCCCCAGCTGTTCCAGGTAGCCCAGCTGGGTGTCTATCATGTAAATCTAAAGCAGCGTCTAATAGCCTGAACAGGCAAAGATAAATGTGCCACTGTTTAACTACAGTATTGTTATAGACATCCATGGAGAATTGTCATAGCCCCATGATAAATGCTGTGAGAACCTATCATAAATCCTGTTTTAATACAGCAAGGTTTATATTGCTTTGTTGCACACCAACAAAGCTCAAAATAACAACAATAAAACAAGAAATACTGAACAGTCCTTACTACTGCATCTGGAAAAGGTTAACATTTTCCATATTTCCTTCAGACATTGTTTTTTGATGAAACAAGGCATTACATAGTTGAAGAAGGCAATGATCCCCACTTTACTATATTCATTCCTCTCTTTTCCCAGATATTTGCTATCTAATATTTTATGGTTTTTCTTTCCATGAAAATTTGCTCAAGTGTCTAGATTTATGCCCTTGAACAATTTACAATGCTATTTTTCACTTTATTAATTTTAAATGAATATTTTGCTGTTTAAGTATTTTTTCTGCCTTTTATTTTGCATATGTTATGACAAATATCTCTAGGTGGATGGATCTTATTTTCTTCATTTTAATTGTTTAAGAAGTATAATCTTTTGGTTTAAACATGCTCCCCCAAACTTTATATGTGGTCCCCAGTGGTGCAAAAGTGGCAGAACCTTTAAAAGGTGGGGAGCCTATTCCAAGACACAGGTTATTTGAGGCATCATCTTTCAAAGAGATTAAGGTAGTTCTTGTAGGAACTTAGTTGTTACGATAGGGTGGTGAAAACAAAAGAGTAAGTGAAAACAAAAGAGTAAGTCTGGCTCATCCTCAGTTTGCTTTGGCTTCCTTGTAGGAACTTAGTTGTTACGATAGGGTGGTGAAAACAAAAGAGTAAGTCTGGCTCATCCTCAGTTTGCTTTGGCTTCGTATCTCAACACGTTACTGCCCCACTCATTAGCTCCTACCAGGATACCCTTCACCATGTTGTAATGTAGCTAGCAGTTGTAATCCCTACTAGAGTCAAGGCTATGCTAACTGGGTTTTAAGCCTCCAAAACGATGAGCTACATAACCCAGCCTCAGATATTTGGTATACCTAGATTATAATTAAAACAATGTGTTATATCATAGCACCCCATGTCTACTACAACACAATTCCTCTTTCATTCACCATTAAATACTGATTTGTTTATAATTTTCTACTATTAACAATTAAAAATGCTCTACATACTTCCATTTATATAAACTGGGGCATTTTAATAGTCTGCAAAATAGACAGATTTCTTAATACAAGACACAATATTGTATTCATTAGATAGCCACTTGGCAACAGCTTCAATTTTTTTTCAGCATCTGTGAATGATGCTTAATTTTTTTCCACTAGGGCTGCCATTTGACACTTATAGGTTTCTTCAGAAACTCGGACATCTACATCTATACCACATGAATTTACTAACACAATTCAGGGAATTTTTAACAGTTAGTATTCTATGTGAACTGCACAGAACACACACATACACAAAAACTATGACTTTGTAGAGTATTTCTGTGGTGGTTTTAATTAGAATATCCTCTATAGACTCTATCATTTGTACATTTGGTTCGCAGTTGGTGGTGTTTGGGATGTTTAGGAGGAACTATGTCACTGGAGGTGGGTTCAAGAATCTAAAGACATGCCATTTTCAGTTTTTTTTTTTTAAATATCTCTCTGCTTCTTACTTGAGGTTCGAAATATGAGCTCTCAACTTCCAGCTCTACCTGTCAAGGCTCTGCTTTGCCATCATGGACTCTAAGTTCCTGAAATCAATCTTCTGTAAGTTGCTCTAGTCATGGTGTTTTAGAAAAGTAATCATTACAACTTCCAAACTTGCTGTGAACCCGTTTAATTACTCAAGATCTAATAAAATGATTGTTCTCTGTTATTAACCATCTACTAAGTAGCAGACAGACTATTTGATGATTCCACTACTGACTTCACTGGCCTTTAGAATGTATTCTTCCTATTTCTAGAAAACATTGGATTTTCAAATAAATCCTAAGTTTATATTGGAAATAGAGTATTTCCTACTGAATTACTGTGGTATTTTAGAAACCATTAAGTACAAAAGCAATGTATCAGTGCCAAACTCAATTATAGATAAATGTACTATATATAATAATTTAAAATCCCTAAAATGTTGACCTTGTAAATTTCATGTAAAGACTTTTTTTAGATAAGATGCAAACATTGCCCAAATTTTATTTTGTTTGCAAATATTTACACTATAACAATTAAGTTTATGGCAAAACAGTTGCTTAGACAATAGCATCCACTGATATCATGAATTCTTATGGGTGTAGTTTTTAAAGTCCATGGATTAGGGGAAGGTCTTACACTGTAGCTGAGACTGTATGTTGATAAAACCATATGGAAATCACTAGGAACTGAACTACTGTGTGATATAGCAATCCCACTGCTAGTCAGCAGTTACTGTAGTAATAGCACAGTCAGTCTATGGTGAACATTGTATTTGCTATATCCAATGTATGAAGAGTGTACATGGACAATGCATTCATGCCATGCTTGTATTGTATAGGGATTCTTTGGTTGTTTACTTTAAAGAAGGATGTTAAATTTCACCAGAGTTGGTAAGACAGATCTCTGACTAAGTAAGTCACTGATTTATTTGTCCAATTATATTTACAGCACCCTGTGCTGTAACAGGAGATAAACACAGAAGAATGACAAACACCCAGCATAAGACTCAAGGAGATTTCAGTCCACAGGAGGGGTATGTCAGAGATGGAATGATGGGAGTCTAATAAATTCCACAAGGCAGCAATTCAGAATGCAGACTCCCTTGGGAGCTCATAGCTCTTTACTCTACACTATTTGTTTTCCTTTGGAAAGAAAAATATTATTATTAGGAGACTGAATTAATTAAACAAAAAATCCGAAAACTCTTGTCTAATTTTTCCATATGCTAGCAGCCCACTAGTCATAAAAATTTGAAAAAGTCATTAATGCTCTAAACAGAACACAATGGTGTCTGGTTCCAGGGACCCAATATTATGGAAATTACTCATGCCATTGACCCATCATATGGAATAGCTGTGTGCATCATAACAACGTAAAAGACCCCCTCAACTAATAGTGTTTTTAATAGTTCTGTTTGAAATATTTGTCTTTATTCCATAAAACATTAATGGTATCCTGTGTAGGGTTCTCTCTCAAGTTGTGAAGGAAATAATACCTCTCTCTCTCTTTCTCTCTCTCTCTCTCTCTCTCTCTCTCCCTCTGTGTGTGTGTGTGTGTGTGTGTGTGTGTGTCTGTCTCTCTGTCTGTCTGTCTGTCTCTGGCTATCTCTCTCCCTCCCACCCTTTCCCCCTCCATTCTTCCACCTTCCCCCTTCCTCTCTTTCTCTCTTTTTCCTGCCTACTTAGTCACCTTTGCCTCCTTGATAAAACTGTCAACTTCTGGAATTCAATCAGTTCCATTCTGAAAGAGAAGATTTCAAGAGGTCGAAGGTCTCTCTATCACCATGGCTCCTGGGTGGAGTGGCAAGGGAGAGCATGAGTGCGTGTAGAATGGGGTTGGGCAAAATTAAGAAAATCTGTTATCTTTAAAACAGTATCTTGACAGATGCCTTGGCTGTGTTCTCCAGTAACTTCCCAACAGTTTGGCAGAAGTCCACCCAGGTTACTAGGAAGAATTTCTCTTTCCTTTAGTCTCTACCCAGCCCAGTGTCCTGGACCCTGAAGGCAAGGTCCCAAAGAGGTACTCCACACAGGGTTCACCTCTCTTCCTCCCCACTCCCACCGCCACGCCCCACAGACCCTGTCATCCCGCCCTTTCTCCACCTACATCCTCTGCAGTGGGCACAGACAAGTCCTCATACAACCTATGAGAAAGGCGCTTCTTTGTTTCCAGCCAAAACCCTGGTGAAGGGAGTGGGATCAGAAGAGAGAAGTCCGCCCTGTCCTGTGGCAGGGGACCCACTTGGGGTTGTGGGATCCCTGACCCAGAGCAGGGACGAACGACCGTGGGTCGTGTCCCCTGAGTTACAGGTTGGAACAAACTTGCCTAGCTTCGCGTGACAGGAGCTCCCAAGTTCACCGGTGAGCAGCGCGTGCCGGAGCGACAAGGTGAGGAGCTGAGGAGCCCAGGTTCCGCTGGAACTGGGCAGAAGTGGCAAGGGAGGGGGCGGGCGCGCAGGTCCCGCCTCCCCTGGCC